CCCATTTCATATTCATATTAGAATTCAGGATGTACAAGTACTAGTATATATTTACACATATACTACTGTCGACGAACATACGTATTACTAAAATGAAATACCACCACATGCACTCAACGATGTACTAGAGAATCAGTATCTTCATATGCCAATGTACCAATATACCACTGTAAGACTAGTACTAAAACCAATATTGATGTGATGGTGTCACGCTGTGGACGCCAGGGATTAAAATTTACGATGAATCCAGCTGTCACAGTAACGGCCTCCAAAAAAGACTGTGTTTTGGGACAGTACGTGTTTCGGTTCATTTTGTTGCATAAGTGCTGTACTGTCCCAAAAGATCAAGCTTCTTTTGCCAAAGTGCTGTACTGTCCCAAAAAAACCAAGAAACCAATCTTTCCGGTCCTGGGACCTCGCAGAGCATTCTGTCAACCAAAAAGATTGGTTTTTTTTGGACAGTACAGCACTTTTGCGGTCAAGGATGGGTTTCTTTGGTACAGTACAGTGTTTTTGTTAATTCTCTTGCAACAGTGCTTCGACAACCATCGGATATCATCCACGTTCCGTGGCGGGCGGGGCGTGTATGGAGGGTGTGGAGCGGCGGGCGAGAGCGGGTCGGAGGGGAGTGTCGCGGAGTTGGGCGAGGACGTGTGCTGGGGGTGTCGAGCGAATTTGAGAGGAGTGTCGCGGAGTGGTGGGCGTGTCGTTGTCAGGGGGCATGTCGAGGTGTCGCGGAGTGACGGGCGAGGGCCTGCGGGCAAGGGCGTGTCGAGGGAGTGTCGCGGAGTGGCGGGCGAGGGCTTTTGCGTGTCGGGAGTGGCTCGAGGGGTGTCGAGGGGAGTGTCGCAGAGTGGTGGGCGAGGGCGTGTGTGTTATGGTGGGTGAGGGCGTTTTTTTTGGGAAGTTCGTGGAGTGTTGGGTGAGGGCGAGGAGTGTCGCGGAGTGGCGGGCGAGGTTGGGTGTGCGTTTGTGTTGTGGGGAGTGTCGCGGAGTGTGGAATTCGTGCGGAATGACGAGGGTCGTGGAGTGGAGGATAGGGTGTGAAACAAACGTGGTGGCAAAGAACGAGGTCGTGGGGACTCGCAGGCGAGGTGGAAGGGAGTATCGCGGTATGCTGCTGGAGCGAAGTATTATGAGGGTGGGCGACGGTAAATTTATTGTGAGTGCGGGAATATTGGAATGCCGGGTGAGTAGGGGGGGGGAAATATCGTGTCGCACGGAGGGGCAGGATATATGAGGTCGGGGAGCGGATAATATGTCCTTCATTCTCTATTAAAACGGTGTCGTGCTGGTCGCGTTAATTTTTATATGCGCGGTCTTGACCCCCTGTAATCTCGTCCTTTGGCGCGTTTCTTTTTGAAAGCCTCTTGCGTGCCTGTCTCGCGGAACTAAAAGTTCTGAAATTTTAGTACCGCGAGCACTTCTTTCCAGTACTAAAATTTGCGAAAAAAGGGAGCTCTAGGAAATCTCGCGGTACTAAAATTTGCGAAATATTGGTAGCCTTAGGGGGATATCTCTCGATAATAAGATTTACGAAATTTTGGGCAGGTATGTTCGTGGTCATACAATTTCTCGAAATTTTTGGGAGATGCTCGCGGTAATAAAAATTCTGAAATTTAAGTGTCGCGAGCTCTAGTGCCGTGCTTTCTGAATATAGGTGTCTCTCTGTGTGTTCTGTGTGTGCGTGCGTGTGTCTGTATGTCTCTGCGTGTGTGTGTGTGTCTCTGAGTGTGTGTGTGTGTGTGCGCTTTCTCGGATTTACAAAGGCATTGCAAACTTTTCGATACCCTAAATCCCAAACAGCTAAACCGAAACCGACCCTGGCGGCTTGGTCTGCTCGGGAGGGGGTGGCCGACACCATTTTCCATGGAGGAAACTGAACCTGCACAGCGCTGGCGTTGAACTACTACTCCCACACCAAAATTCCGCGTATCAGGCGGCCCGGGGGGGGGTGGCCGGCACCGTTTTCTAGTTTCTGTCCCCTCCCTCTCCCCCTCCCCTTCCTCCCCCTACCCTTCCCCTTCCCTCTGACTTCTGGCGTTCTTTTCCATTCCTTCTGCACCGTGCAGCGCGGACTTTGGCTTCGGTGTTTAAGGGCTCTTAAACCGGAGTTGACGTAACTTCTTAGAAGCCCACTTAATATTCGGCGGTTTTCAAAGGGTTGATCATTAACCTGCCGTTGCTACAACGACACCAGACCCTAACGTCCCTTTCTCTCACTCCTGTGGGATCGGCGGCTTGAGCCGGAGGCTCTTAAATTTGCCTCATGCGTGCAAGTCGATTTCCAATAAATTCAAGATCAAATTGATGGACACGACTTTACTTTCTAAACACCGAAATCGAATATGGTTGCGTTCCCCCGCTAATTCTAATTCGGGGATTCAGTTCCGGAAATAGACAGTTCTGGTGTAGTCTTACAGTCTACAGTGTACAAAGAACTCGAATTGTTAAAGTACGCTGGCTGATTTCTGTCGAACCGCGAGTCAAGGCATTTAGATCATCCACGTCAAACTTTGCTTCCGGGAAGACCCAAGTTGTGAACACGCCTCTTGAGATGGCACAGCCCCGTAGTTTTGGTGGGTTGGGGGCACTGTGGGGGAGCGGCCGAGAAATTGGAGTGATACACGCATGCGTGTGTGTCTGCGGTGGATGCTCCGACATGCAGACTTAGCTGCAGTGGTTCTTCTCGAGTTGGCTGCGCAAGCTGTGCAGCGGTAATTTTGCTGTCAGCTGCTGTAAGAAGCTTTCACACGTAGCGGTGCTGATTGCAACGTCCCCATGCCGCCCATGCTCAATCTTCCTCTACTGTAGAGACTACCTTCCGGCATTGAGAAGCTGATTCAAGCTACAGAAAGATTTGCGCAGTGATGATTCCAGCCCCAAGCACTCAAATGCAGAATAGCCACAGAGAGCCCTCTCTTCCCCGGAGCGAACATGTTGCCAGCATGTGGGGACGTGGAGACAGCAGAAGTATGATAGCTGAGTCTGCCAATCCGTCAAACCCGCGCATCTCCATGTTTCATTGCTCAGGCGCCCATTGGTGCTACCATGACGAGCTCCCATTTCGCATCGCAACTGGAATGTTACGTGGTTCATGTTCAACCATGGCACAAAGCGTGGCTGCAGCAACTCCGCGTGTGCCATGGTCATACTTGTCTTTCTCATTCCCGGCCTCGGTAGCCTGGAAGGGGCAGCCAATCCCACAAATGCCGTGTGAGACCAACAAGCAGAATGACCTCTGCGGCCTAAGCATCAAGCTTAAATATGTTGTGGTGCATTTCCCAGGTTGCACGAAGCTGCTTGAAAGCTTAGACGTGGCTCTGAGCTTTGCTAGCCTTCTCGAGACTGTCTTCCACGCCGGGCCGGGGAGTCGTCTTGGGACTCCTGTGCAGCTTTCAGCCGATTTTGGTTTGTGCATCTGTTGCGATTTTATGTCAATTTTCGGCCTATGATTTCAGGCAGGGATCGGGGCAATCGATTCCCGTCCTGGCCCTGGGGCGCATCGGCTTATGCACACTTTGGCACAGAAGCGGGCGCCATGAAACCGGAACTCCGCGTGCGTGAGGAGCCGGCTATGAGAAAGTTAAAGTCGACAATTTTCGGAGAAAGATATGACTGCTTGCCTCCATATGAGTCAAACGCAAATATGGTTGCAAATTCTACCGAATGGCTTGGGACCAATGCTACTGCAGGGCCGTCGTGCGGCTGAACCCTTGCCTCACTTGACGCCTAAGGGATTTGTGTCTTGGGGCCTCGCAGTTAAGACGCGAGAAATCCTGACATGTATGTTGCATCAAATTTGTGCTGCTATGTGCTGCTCGCTGCACACAGCTGTTCAACATACTCTCTGCTATGTTTAATTTCCACGTTGCTAAACTCGCATGGCTGTCGAAAAGCTCCTGAGTTGTCTTGGGCAAAACTTGCCTGTGGTAGACTGATTGAAAGGAGCTTGAAACAGCGCAAGACGAGGTGCTATACATGCAAGAGAGGGCGAGGTGTATATCATATACTGAATGAGTGGCTGACTGACTAAGTACATAAGTAAGCGAGTAAGAATGTAAGTTGCTAGCTAGCTAGCTACGCAAATAGAGTTAGATTCAACACATGTACAATTCGCAATACGACATAATATAGCGCCCTTTAGACTTATGGTATGCCAAGGCTGAATACAGAACAGTGCAGTAATTATAGTATATTACGGTATAGTCTAGTACAATTCAGTCTTGTGTAGTATCTAGTAGATTAGAACACAGTGTAGCACAGTATACACATGTAACTTACACTCGGATGTGGTACAGAACGAAATCAAGCGCGATATCGCTTATTTACAGTACAATACGGCAAATACGGTACAGCAAAGTATAGTGCAAGGTGAGATACTGTACTGTAGCGTAGTGCAGTTGAATGCAAGGGCACGAACGATAACGTAAGGTAGTGGAACGCGCCCTCCTGCCTGCCCACCTGGCTACAGCCCTACCTGCCTTCCTACTCCCGTACCTACCAGTACCTACTAGGTAGGTGGTAGACAGGCAGGCAAGCAGGCAGGCACGAGTGTTGGCCGTGGGAGCCCTTGTCACTAATCTCATCGTCCTTGCCCCGGCGCACCCCATAACGAATCAAGGAGCACCTCTCAAGCTCCCAAGACTACTCCACAAACGCGCCATACGTCCAAATTGCATGTGGCAATACGCACAGGACCGTGGTTGGAATGCGAATCCCAAAATGCAAGGGACTGTGGGGGAGCACGGCTTCGGTTTTTGGCTTGCCCACGACGGCGCAGGCCATGCACCGTCGCGAAGGGTCGAACAACGCTTGAAGTGTTCACTTGCACGTCGCGACCTGTCTTACCGTCGCCCTTTCACTAGAAAACCTCAGGGGCCTAAGCACGAGCTGCGAGTCTGTCATAGGACCTTTTGCAATTCACGGCTCCGTTCGCGAGGCCTTCATAGTTGGCATCTCGTTGCTATGCGGGGTTTGATGCAACTGCCCCCTTATTTGCTTGAACTCCCAGGCTGAAGCTGGCAAATGTCCCCTTGTTCGGTGCCTCTTCCACGGGGCTCCGTCCCCGAGGTGGTGGGGATCGGCGGCCTGGAGACATCTCGGATGGGTGTGCAGCTGCAGCCGTGAACCTACCTGCGTTGTGTTCAGTCGTTCTTATTACGCTTGGAAGTAAAGGACCTCCACTGTTTGCAATACCGACGCCAGGAGCTGGGTAATGGCTTCCACTGCTTCCACTGATGCCCGCGAGCAGGCTCTGCACCCGATTTGGGCAAACCGCCATAGCAGGTCACCACGGGAAGGTGCAGGACTCCACAGTCTGGAATAGTCTTGCGAGACATGTCATGCTTTGTCTCGTTGGGTGAATTAAACCGCATGCATAGTCAGCATGTCGTGCAGCATGTGTTGTGGTAGTGGCCATAGCCTTGTAGCCTAGGGCTCCTATGAGCAGTTGCTTGTGTGAGTTACGTCACAAACTGGGGAATTCACCAGTCGTCAGAAGCACAACCTCTGGGGTCTACCTCTGCAGTATTCCAGGGAAGTCGCGACCGCTTAACAGGAGCTGTAGAGCCATGGGAGGGCCCGCCTGCTGTTGGAGGTGTGGCCGACCGAGGCCAGAACGTCCTGAGCAAGGTCTCCGATACTAGGATACTACGCATGCAGGCTGTGCAGTTTTGACTCGTGATGACTCGGGTACTGCTGGAGTGGCCTCTGCGAAGTCATTGTTGCTCCCATGCGAGGCCTGCGCGGCCGGCCAGCTCAACAGTCAACAGACGGACCCTCGTCTTAAGACTGGAGATGTCAAGACTAGAAGTCAAGTCCAGGGTCGGCACGGAGCGTTGGCATTGGCAGGTGGGGTCGTAGCACGCTTCAGCTCCGCCTAGGTGCGCTGATAGTTGATATGGCCACTTCTTGCAATCATCCTCTTGGACCAGTTCATCAAGCCACAACACCGTGACACTGGTTCTGGAACCTGCGAATAAAGTCTGCACATCTCTTTCCAACAGCTGCCAAGTGAACCGAGTCCGAGAGGCGGGAGACAGGTCGAAGGGGTTGGAAGGAACAGGCGAAGCCTCCCAAGAAATTGAACTTTGTGTTCCTTAATTCCACATGCAGATGCAGAGCCCGTCGGGGGTTGGGCCTAAACGGAGTACATTAAAGCCAGTGCGACGATGAAAACAGCTACGTATGATGCTCGATGACTGCGCCATATGGGAATCGAAGCCGGCTCAAAGGAGGCCCTTGGAAATCTCAAGGGTCGAAGACGAAGGTATAGGAAGGTATGACGGGCTACTCTCAGGGAACAACTGCGCAGCACGGCCTGGACTGGCGCTGCTTCCAGCGCCCTTCGAGACAGCTGCACATGCTCAGTTGCTGTTTGCTTCAGGAAGGCACTCTGAAAGGACCTGTCCAGCAACACTGTCTGCTGCTTGCCCTTCCGGATCATGTTCACCAAGGCTAAGTTGGAGGCATCGATGCATTTGCCAGAGGTGACACGTCCTGCAGTGCGTGAGCAGATTGCGCACAGCAGGACCTCAAGAAGCATTTTTCCCTGTTAGATAGAGGAAAGCTGATCTCAAGCCAGGATGACAAGGCTCTTAACAAGCTCGTGAAGGACATTGATTTTGCCTTCGTCCTCTACGACTAAGAAAGACCCAAATGAAGCCGCGCAGCTCTCCGGCTCTCCTTCGGACGAGGAGGCGGGGATGTCTCGACTCCTGTCGCGGACTCCGGGCTGCTCAGGTGCATGCCACGACAAGACTGATGGTCGGTGTCGTCTCTAGGTTGCGGTTGCCGCCGTCGTCGTTATCGTCATCGTCGCAATCGCTGTGGTGTACTGGCCTGCTAACTTTGCGATGACATCGACGGTGCTCTTCTTTCGAAACGATGATGACGTGCGTGACACTGTGCGAAGCACGCCGGTATCTCGAATATGCCGTTTGCTTGATCGCTGAATTCGCGAAATGCAGACAAACACCATATCCGAAAGGCTAATGCAGCGGGCGCATCAAATTCCACAAGGAGCAAACACACTTAGCAATTCCATATCCACGCTGTGTGTGCTTGCGCGCAGTGATGCTGCATTATGCGACAGAGAATCCATCGGGCACAATGTGCAGTGGAATGCTGCTGGAACATGCTTTCAGATATGGCAACGTTGGCTGTAAGTGTCACCCGAAGTTGCTGTGAGCGACAAACTTGTTGTGATCGTGGTCGCGTACGGTTTTCCGACCCTGGCTGGCATGAATTGAGCATATGCAGGCAGAACATGGCCGTGGAGAGAGTCTATTGCAATGCTTCCTACAGACGAGGCAACTTGTCAGGGATGACTCTTCGATTCCCAGAGCGGCGTCGCAAAAAGTGGCGTAGCCTCAGTCAATGTCCAGAATGCGAGGAGGTCAGGTGGGAGGACGGGACGCTGTCCATCAATGGTGCCCAGCACGCAAGCAGACTCAGGACTCTGGATGGCGAAGCGACGTGTATCATGCAAGCCCTGCAAATCTCATCCAGGATCCGGGCTCCTTTCGCTGTGCAGGCCTCGCCATGTCGCCTTTGGTAGGCTCACTGCCCAATGCTTCTGTCACTTTGCACTTCTTGTACTTATCTCGAACCAGAGCGAAAGCTGTTGGTTCCTCGCAAGGGGGACGGGAAAGGGGCAAGTGCAGGGAAAGGTGAAGGGAAAGCTATGAGAGGGATGGTGCGATGCCGAAATAAAGAATTCCAACTTTCGTGCGGATTTTTGCTTTCGGTGACTTGGCCTCGTGGACACGGAGTCATGATGTCTGTCACAGAGTGATCAGCGTGAAACTACTGCAATGCATCTGGTTGCAGCGTTGATGTCTCACATGTGCCTTGTCCAGCAGGCTAACTGTCATTTCTTCTTTTCGCTCCGCCCGGTACACAAGCACTTCCGGTGAAAGCACACGGCCCTCTTTCTGCGATATTCGCAAACGCCTAAAAAGTGCCAGCCACGTGGAGAGCGCACAGGTGCAAGAAACGTGTACATGGCTTGTATGTCCGAGTCTGAGGTTGTCAACCTCAAATCCCAGTTGGCGTGGTAAGTCTTTGCACCCGACACCGGCGTCAAATGCGTGCATAAAGAGCACGGCATGAAACCAAGAATGCAAACCTCTTCGGGTAAGATGCGAGCCCGCGAATTCGCGACTCACCACACAAGTCTCGGAGGGCGCAGTTCCAATCAAAGCTTCAACTCAGGCGTGTAAAGCCGTGGTGTTCAAACAACACCTTCAGCGAAAACGCTTTGTTTTCGCAAGCGTATGACCCTAAATAATATACAGACTTGCTGCATGACTTTCACGGCAGCAGGATTAGCATTATCCAGCCCATCGCCCACAGCTGGGGCCTCTCTGGCTTGGCCGGGGTGACACTTTGTGTAACATTGGTGCCAAAGCCGAATGCTGCATGCTGCTGCATGCGCTTGTGTTACTTGCTCTCCTTGCTTTTGGCTCGCTCCTCGGCGTGACGGCCCTCTACAATGGCAGCAACTGTCCGTGGGGTCAGCTGCGGAGGCGCTTCGCCGCGAGGCATGCCAGGCAGGAGGAGGTCGAGGTCCTCCGCTGGATCTACCACTACTGCGGTCGCCGCCACCCCCTACTACTACTACTACTACTACTACTCCTGCTGCTGCTGCTGCTGCTGCTGCTGCTGATGTCAGCTCATGTAGTGGTCGTGTGGATACACACCGAACGAAGAGCGCACTCACGGTTCCGAGGGGCCGATTCTGCCATGGAGTCCATCTGGTCAGAGCCGTAGATCCTCCGCCTTGAAGTGAGCAGAAAGCGGGTTCATTGAAATGAAACGGTAAAGTTCAGGTTGCGACTTCTGTGCTGGTTCCGGGTAAAGCATGGTCGGTCTTGGGGGTTACTCCGCCGTCGAGAGAGGGTATTCTGCCAGATAAGAAGGCAGCTTACTCTCGGGGCACGCTTCTCTGCAGAGGCTTGGTTGAGACCTGTCGCGACTGCAAAGACGTCGAAGTTGCCGGCACACTGCAAACAGGCTCTGCATCGCGCAATCCTAGGCCCTGGCACTTCGTAGAGGGTTCGATTCCTCGGTGCAGGCAGAAGCTTTGGTCATTCCAAGTGCTCCATAGGCAGCTCAAACGCACCCCATGCTCGGGTTTGCTTCACATAGACCCACCTCAAGAATCGAACAAAGCGTGACAAAGCCCTTTGATCCCTGTGTAGCTATGCTTTCCAGGCCAGGGCACTTGATCAGATTTGACAGGCACGGGTCCAGACTGGGCTCAAGCCTGAGCATTTGTGAAGATTACATTGGATGGCCTAGAATAAAGACCTAGACTTTCGAGCTTGAGATTTGCTGGGAGTTTTGAAGCGTAGGATCAGCGCCGACCTGTGAAGACAGCAAACCGCTTTTCGGCAAACCCACCGTTTCCATTGCAGTTTGTAGGGTTCGGACGTGCTCCGAACATTGGCCCAAGTCGAAGCTCAGATAAGAGCTACTCAAAAGTTTCGTCTGAGTGCAGAATGATTCAACAACAGACTTCTAGACCCCGAAGCTGTGCAGCCTCCAGAAAAGATTTACTGCCTCCAGCACATAAAGTTGGCAAACAGTGCAATCGCGTAGCTGTGCGTATGGTTCCTCGGATCGGCGTGACCAGCATGGCTTCAGCAAGCAACATCAACTTTTCTCAATGCCTTCGATACGTGGCCTGAAGCCGAGGAGCCCAAAGCGGCCGTAAGACGAAGTCGACGAAATCCCGCTGCAACTTGCCCCGTTGCTTCATGTCCTGACGCAAAGAATTACAGCAGCTCCAAATGACAGCAACGTGTGCAGCGACACTTCAGTTTCTGAGCCCAATCCTCCATCTTGAACTGCATGAATGGCTCGGGCGTGAATCCCATCTCCACTTCCTACACATGGAGCAATCTGGGCAAATTGACTCGACTCTTGGAACTTGACCTTTTGATGGGCACGGGCGGAAACCCAGAAGGCTATGCAGCATTTCAAAACGTAAATTCCGCCCCCAGATTGCCCTACAACGAAGTAATTAACTCTTTCAACACCCACACACACACACAGCCACACACGCACGTGCGAGCGCGCAGGGAAATCGGGATGCCAGCTGCCAGAAGATGCTATGCCCAACCTTAAAATGAGATGAAGACCCAACGAACTGGCCTTGGCTGCTTGCTCCAGAAACCTTCGCGGTAAGTGAGCGAGAGGAAAAGAGATCTAGAATCTAGATGACCCGCCCAGAAACACTGCCGGGTGGCATGGCTCAAGAGAGAGCAGGGGGGAGAAACCGAAGGCGAAAGACAAAGAGACAACGAGAGAAAGAGAGAGAGAGAGAGAGACAGTGATAGAGCGAGCTAGCAGTGACGACTCTTATGTGCACAAGCTTCGCAGCAAGCATTACCATAATTACAATTGCTACAAGTACTAGCTCAATACTCATGCATTTTCCACGATTTCGCCAGCAACACTGCGGGGACTTTAACCAATGAGCTGCAAATCAGCCTGCGGATAGCACATGTCGAAGGCGCTGCTTGCTTGGTGCTCCTGCTCTTCCCTCTCTGACATTTGCCTGTCAGGCGGCTCTTGGCATATCCTTTCTTCCCACTTCTTGGCCACCTTGCGGCGGTCCAAGCAGTTTGCTTAAGCAGGAAATACCCGTTGGAGTGCGCTTGTCAGGATTCAGGGTTGGGACCTCAGGAAGGACTCTAATGACTCTAGTGCTGGTGCTCTCAGCTCGACGTGTACAGATGGTCGGACCTCCCAATCCAGCGCCTGGGCGGATAGATCCTCATGTCGCGTCGAAGCTTCATGAAGGGCTTTCCCCAAGTTTGCAGGCTTGCAGAAGGGGCTTCACCGAGCTCGAGGCAGGCAGGGGTATGCCCAGCAGAGGGCTTTTTGTCCGGGTAAGTCCTGGCAGCTTCCTGTTGGGACCGGAAGCAGGTCATCGACTTTACTGATGCGATGGTGAATGTGGTGTCACTGGGCTTCAAGCAACGGGTGGCTGTGTGAACGCTGTTCTTGCAGGACCCACTGAGAAATTGGGACACGGAGATACTTGCAGCTAAGGCTCCGCTGCGTGCACGCACACACTCCTAAATCGACAGCCATTGCAAATCACTGAGCATCAGCCTCATTCAGACTGTAAGCCGGAGCACATGAGGAACTGAGGATCTTCCTCAGCAGTCGCCTTGAAGTCCTGGGCACTGTGGCAGCCTGGCGGAGCCGAAACACGAGTGGCTGACCGACAAAGCTGGTGCTCTGTGCAAACCGGCGATATCTGGCGATAGGTTTCCATTCAGCCCATTTCATCGACAGTTGGACAAGGCGCGAACAAAGGCAAGAGCTAAAGGCAAGCGCTGCCCGAACAACGAAGGAAGCCGTGAAGACACAACAACCTACCCCACGTCGACCCTCAGCTTCTTCGCACTTGCCCTCTTAGGGCTCCGGCCTATCAAGCGCTGGCAGCAGCTCTGATGGTGCGCCATGTCCTGAATTTGCGTGCTTTTTGATCCGACTGGACTGCGGAAGCCCATAGGGCTCATGGGGCCATGGGTCTATGTTCCATCCAGGATGCAGTGGCTAAGATGCACTTGATGATGGTCTTGCGGAAGACCACCTCTCACTGCATGTGCGAGTCTTGGAGTGAATTGGAAGGCTATGAGAACTTCAGCAAGACAAGGTCTGATCATGTCTGATCCACCAAGCCACGAACTCAGGAATAATCATCATTGCAATCTGACCCTACACATGTCACTGCTCCCTCCCTCGCTCGCTCGTGCCTTTTCTCTCTTTCTTTCGCCAGGGCTCTGGTGAAGGGGTTTGACCCCCTTCACCGCGCGAGAGTGCGCCGCCGACTCCTGTGGCGAAAATTTCCTTCAGCACGTGTGCTCTCTCTCTCTCTCTCTCCCTTTCCTTCTCCCTCTCCTCCCCTCCCCTCCCCTCTTTCCTTTTCCTGCTGTCCCCCTACCATACCCTCCAACAACCACTCACCAATCATGCATGGCTGACGCACTGTTCAGGATTGCAGAAGGCAGGGTATTGGGGCTTTGTTGGGGCTTTTTGGGGGAGACTTGCGCCCTCCCCTTATTAAGGCTTTGTCACATCCTGACTTTGCTGGCCTGTGTATAGGATCATATGCATGCTTCGCATGTCTGCTGCTGAGTTGAGTCCAGGAAATTACTTCTGTGTCAAGATATTCCAGGCATGGCCCCAGGTCAGGCTCATGATGTGTTGGCTGGTTTGGGCTGATGGTGTATGGCCACAGAGGGGTTTGACGTTGCTCCACACACTTCTCCTCCCAAACAAGCAAGGCAAAGCCCGAGAACATGAAACACAATGCAAACATTGTGCCACAATGAGCAAACTTAGAAGTATTCCTCATCATAGGGTCGGTGATCTATGCCATCATGATGATGTCTGAGATTTCTTGTTGGGTTTGTATGATGATGTTACAACACACAACACCCGTACAAAAAGCGTACGAAGCCCGTACAAACCGTACGAAGCTTATGTAACACACAACAAGCACCCGTACAAAGTCCGTACGCGGAAATTCATACAATGTAATTATTTTATTACCACCAACTATCATAGTCATCTTGAAGATCTTTGAGTGCTTATCTCAGCTTTTCCAAGCTCCAGCTTTGTATGGGGCCATGTCCATTTTGGACTCCCAGGGGTACCAGGCTCAGTTTGTAAGTTTCCTTATTGTGTAGCTGCCCTACTAAAGCATCCGCTCGAAGGTCTTGCTCAACTTTGATGGCAGGGCTCGAGCACCTGGATCGAGACTTGCTTGACCAGGCTTGGTTTTTTTGACATTTGATTGAAACATTCCCTTAATATGCTCCGTTCCAATTGCACGCAGGCAGATCGCAAGATGTCATACATTGAGGTGAAGAAGGAGATTGAAGCTGCAGCTTCGGCATCTTGCTTTAATCCTGATTTGAGCTTTGCACGTTTGGAAAACCAGATTTGTCGCTCGCACAAGCAACGGAAACAACAAAATATTTCGTGAACACTGCAACATGGTGTTCTCAATGCTGCAGTCTTCATACAAGTTGTTGCTACAGTCCCCAACGCTCGAAGTTATTCCTGAGGTAACCGATGGTGCCTCCACCTTGGGCCTCGATGAAGGCCCACGCGAGTAAAGTGCTTGTGACGTTTCATGGCCTTCACCTACAAACTTATTCAAGCTCATGTGGCCATATGGCAGGAGAGGATGCTCAGACTGCTCGGGCTCCTCAGCGGGCAGAGGCTGTGGAGCCAGTCCCGCCTGACTTTCAGGAGACTCAGGTGGAGGAGGAGCGATGTGGTCCAATAACACAGCTGGTCATTTCATGTCTCTGTGTGTCGAATTTTTAGTTGACCCAAGGTTTCCGCCATGGGCAGTTTGCATTCTTATTCCGGCAGTTTTTGGGTATGCTTTTAGACATGAGCTCCAGGCTTCGGCACACCTGGGACGGACCTGCTTCGTGCATGATGCAGGACCCTGAGCCGGAGAAGGACGACATCGAAATGGAGCTCGAGCTCTTAGTCGATGAGGAGTTGCGGCTACAGGCAGAGCAGATGGCGAAACGCCAAGAGGCTGAAAGGGCAGCGGAAGAGGCTCTGAAAGCTCTGGCTGGGAAGCGCCCGCTGGACGAAGCGAGCACCCAGGCGGGCTCCGGGGAGACGGAGTCTTCTCTGAAGAAGACTCGGTGCAGTCAGGAAGAGCCCCAGCAGCTCCAAGAGCCTGCGGACGAACACTTGGCTCAGCAGCAGCTGGAGCTGAAACGCCTGCAGGAGGAGGGCGACAAGCTCCAACGCCTTCTTCAGGAGAAGCAGGAGGAGCTGCTGCTGGAGAAGCAGCGACAGGAACACGAGCGGCAGGCGAAGCTCTACCGGGAGCTGGAGGAGCAGAGAGCTCGCGAAGCAGCTGAGAAGAAGAAACGTGAGGAGGCTGAGCAAAGGGCTCTGGAAGAGGAGCGGGCTAAGCGGGAGCAGGAGGAGGCTCGCCGCCGGGCGCAAAAGCTTGAGCAGGACCGCAAGCGCAAGGAGACAGAGGAGCTTTTGAAAGCCAAGAGAGCCCAAGTGCTGGAGCTGAGGCGCCAGCTTGGTAAGGAAACGGAGGACGAAAAGGCGGACAAGGAGCCAACCCGGCCCCCAGCGCTGAGGCGCTCCAGCGCCTTCGAGCAGGCCAGCTCGCCTGCTACTTCCGTGACTGAGACCGAGAACTCCGGGGTTGCCACGCAGCCTGTGACCCCAGCTGCAAAGGCTGTGGCCGAGACCCCCCCGCCAGCTACTTTCCAAGTCCGGCCCCCGTCGGAGCCAACCCCTTCGGAAGTCCCGTCCGACGCTTCCACAAAAGTCCTTGGTGCTGACAAGAAGAAGTGGGAGGACGCAACTTGGATGATTTGGGTGCCCATATTGGTGTTCAGGAATATTGCAGCCGAATCATAAGCTCAGGCTACGCCAGAGGAGGTTGCCAAGACGACGCAGAGTTGTCGGCGTTGCTGCGGCAACGCGAACAGAGTGTCTTTCGAAATGCTGGTTGCATGGGAGGCCAAAGGCACGATCAGGCAGGACTTGTTGAAGAAGTGGTTCGAAAACGCCTCCGTCGCCACTGTCTCGGCCGAGCTGATCTTGACGGAGCAGCACGTCGAGTCAGGAGCTCAGGCAGTATTTTCCTCTGCTTCCTGCGTCCACTAAATCCAGATGTGTCATGCCAGAAATTTCGCAGCCGTGAAACAGAAAACTTTTGCACCAAACACTGCTCCATTCTGTGTGGATGTCCTCGGGTGGGGAGCTTCAATCAGATTGTGTCACCCAAGGAAGGAGTCAGTCATGACTGACTGGCTGTCAGCCGAAGGCGTGTTGTTGTTCTACAACAACAATGCCACGAAGGCCAAGGACGCCATCGGCCAAGCCCTGTTGGAAGGACGTCTCTTGGCATTGATATGGGGGCGCTCCAGTGAATTCTTGACTTCGTTGCATATATATGCTGGATTGATGAGGCTGGAAGCTGGATCCGAACCTCAGGCAGACAGGGGAAAAGCTCTACAAGCTCATGGTCCAGCACCGCAGCGAGGAGAGCTTCGCGAAGATCGAGGAAGTTCGATCCAAGATCGTGCCCATCATATCTGATAAGAGGCCAGAAGCCAGGGCACTCTTGAAGCAAGTGCTGCCTAGCGGCCTTTATGTTAACTGCTGTGGGAGTCCTGCCCGGTGCTTTGAATCCTTGCATATAAGGTTCGGAATCACTCCTCCTCAGCTGGAGGCGGCGCCAGCTGCTGGATCCAGCAACGAGCCTTCGGCCCCCAAAGCTCAGCCTGCAGAGCCCGCTGCCGCTGTGCCCCCTGGGGAGACTCTTGCTGCAGGAGGCTTCACAATGATTGCCTTGCAGCTTTTGAAGCTTGAGCATCACCACATTAATTCATTGGAAATGTCTCGTAGTACAATTTCACTTTTCAGGTGATCCGAAGCCGAAAGGCAAGGCGAAGCCGAAGCGCAAAGCTGACAAGGAGAACCCAAAGGCGGTATGGGACTTGAGGAAAGCACGGCTGTCCCAACTGGACACCCAGCCTTTCCCTTTGGTGGACCGAGTGGCCACGAAAGAGTTGGTGCAGAACGTGATTTTCACCAAGGCCCCTAAAGCGTCTGGATTGGAATTTTTTGACGTAAGATACCATATTGTGGACGTTCTTTTGAATTCAGATCTTTTGTGCCAGGCCGGAAACCTGGCGAAGATTCAGCTTCAGCTGGCAGGCCACGAGCCATCTGCGAAGGCTGTCGATGATCTTCTCCAGGAGAAGGCCAAGATGGATGCCAAGTGGCAGGCGTCGCAATATTTGATTAAACCTGTCATGCTGTTTGAGCAACGTCCTCATCATGTGTTGTGGCTCTCTTCAGTATGTCGAGGCTTTGCGGAAGATTGATGACACGGTCTCTGAGGAGACCTGGGTGGATGCTATGAAGGAGTCCATTCAAGATCCATGATAGTATATGGAATTCTGCGACAGATTTCTGTAACAGAATTCCATATACTATGCATGGACCTAGTATGGCCAGGATGTGACGCGAGCGTACTTTGCCTACCTCTCCAAGGAGGAGCTGCTGTACGTTGCAGGTCTTCCTAAACATATCTTGAGCATTATGGCAGCTATGTCATTGATCCTCATCTTTTGTCAGGAGTTTGCCCTTGGGTGCTGCAGAAGCGTGAAGAAGCAGACGGCCTAGGGTCTACCTGCTGCGGTTCCTGGGGACAGAGCCATCATTTCATCATGATGGCCTTCATGACGTCGATGATTTTCATCTTCTTGTTTGAAAGTTGCGGGGAAACACCAGCCTACGCGAAGCCGGAGCTGCAAGTGCAAGCGCCAACAAAAAATGCTTGAGCAGTTTTGCCACTGCTGGAGTGTGCTTGAAGACAGAGATTCTTTCAGATTTGTTGACTCATTTACTTCCCTCCGCCCTCGCAGGGCCGACTACTCTTCAGAAGCCTGGTGATGATCCGCAACTTTGTCTGCATATATGGTGCCTGCTTGCGAGTGTACACATGTGTTAATTGAGTTGCATATCAGGCAAGAGCAATCCTCTGGTCCTCGATTAAAGCGAAGGGCCTCTGCTGTCATCCGCAGTGCCAAGAAGGCACGGAAGAATGAAGACAACGTCGATTTCTCGCAGCTGCCGCTGCACTTGCAAAATATGGATGAGGGCTACTCCACGCTGGCGCACATGTGTGAGACGCCCATGCCCAATGCTGTGCTTGGAGGACTTCGCAAGAAATCTGCAGATATTAGCTTCCTCTGTGGCACAATGTGCGATGCAGCTGTTCAAGAAGGGTCAAACAATTTTTTGACGAAGACGCTTGCGACGATCACACGAGAGGCTCGGTTCCACAGTCGGCTAGCTTCTTCCCTGCCCAAAGTGGAGCTGATAAAGCTTCCAGTGCAGATTAAGAAAAAACTCCAAATGAAAGCATTTAGCTCCTCAGTTGCATTATGTTTTCTCTGCTTGTAGAATGAAACATGGGTGGTCGTGAAATAGTTGCATTACGTTTTCTATCCTTGTAGAATGAAGGAAAGCTGGGATAGGAGATTGTGAAATACTTTGATATTCTGGCCAGTTTGCTTTTCTCTTGATGTTAGGTTTCATTCGGCCGAGCAGCTGGTTCAGATGGATGGAGAAGCGGCAGAAGTTCTTGAGCCACATGGTTTATGGTCAGAGTTCAGCAGCGGACCGACAACTGCCCTGAGGTTGCAAGTTTTCATGCCATCAGTCGACTATCTGAGACAGACCATGTATTGTCAAAGCAAATGCAGTGATTGTCCATAATTGTTTTGTTGCCGTGGTTGGTTGTTGCTTCTGACCTCAGGCTAGTGGATTTGATTCACGAGTCGCCAGAGTTGCGGGAGGTTCTGTCCGATGCAGGTGCCAAAATAGAAAGAACATCTTGTGACTCATGTTGCAGTTGTTCTTGTATGGGGTTGACGGCGCAGGACCCAATGATGTGTTCTTGCGCCTTCATGGAGATGAAGGGCCATTCTTCAAGAAGCGGAATCTGCTGGTGCTGTCATTGAGTTTTCCGCACAATCATGGAGATGCTTTGCGGCAATGGTCATGCAACAGTCTTAGATGAATAAACGTTTTCAGTGCTTGAGATTTGCTCCACAACAACACAAGGACACTATCATGACCCGCTTGGCGCTCTGTGACTGGGCTTGGCATGCAAACATATCATACTTGATGTTTTCCAGCACCTTTGCTTTAAGATGCAAACAGCCTGGGATTTTGACAGCGCGGCCTTTGCGAAAACTACCAGGTGCGATACCTGGTCATCTGTTGCTGTCTCTGCCAATGCAGAAGAAACTACGGACGATGACGACAGTGGACAAACTGATGGAAATCATCAGCAAAGACTTGGAGGGGCTGTGCCTTGGCTTTGCTGCATCTGTATTCATGCTGAGCTGTAGAGGCCATATTGGGAATGACTTCGAAACTTGATACAGGACAGTCAATGTTGGTGGAGAGCAGCGACGTGTCCGCTTCTTTGGAATGAAGGGTGACCTTAAATGGTTGGCCCAGGTGTTCAAGTTGCCGTGGCCTTACATCAGAATGAGATTGTCTTCACTGCTGAACGGTTCTGTGGCCAGATTCAGCTCTGGCCATGCACCTGAGTCCCCGCCATTGGAAGGGCAATGGTGTGGCTCGTGGCAACAGGACACAATTTAAGGGGTCTCATCTGTTCTCATGTTTTGATTCACTCCTGTAGGATGTGCCATATTTGCAAGCTTCTTGGTTGCAATATTTTTCAAGGTTGAAGCAACCTGGACTTCATGTCAATTTTCTCCTTGGTGTTCTGCGCAGAGAACTGAGGCTTGCAAGCACTTGTGACCCTTTGGATGGCAAGACCTTCCTTGCATGTGGGTCAACCCACTACTTGAACAACAATGTGGACTCCGGCTGGCATGGCTCAGAGGAGTCGCTGCAGGACCCGTGAGACTCATTAAGATTGGATGCTGGCTGAGTTGGTTTTGGTTTGGTGCTAAATACACGTGTGCAACCCAGGAGTTCATGGCCACTATGCAGGGCCTGCCATTCCCTTCACCACTTGTCTCGATGCCGGGCTTTTCCAACAGGCTGATTTGGGATGATAGTTTGCATGTGGCTTACCGTGGCTTTGCAGCTGACTGGGTTGGGAGTGTCATCGTGGATATCTTCGGGCGGGGAACTGCTGCATTGGTGGAAGCACACGAATGCGCCTCATGGTGGGCCAAGTCTCATGGCTACACGCTTGCGATCGATGATTTTTCCTTCGACGATGGTTACCCATCGATCCTAGCAAAAGCCTGGGACGTGAAACTTCTTTGCCAGTGGCTTGTGTCGAGGCTGCATGCATCCACCTTTGAGTGAAGTCTTTGTGTGGGTAATCCTAACCCAAACAGTTTGCGCAGACAACAACACTTGATAAACAGATTTCTTCGCATGCTTTCAGACAAGTGTCTACCTGACCATGTATATCTGTCCCTCTATCTCTCTCTCTCTCTCTGTCTCTTTCGTGGTTCGATTTTGTGTCGGAATTCCTGTTTCTGAGGCAGAGATTGCGCCTGTCTATGCTCGCTCAGCACGTGCTGCAACTGCCAAGCAGCCAGAGCATCCAAGTGTCATCTCCATGCACCCTGGATTAGATTTTGGTGGGATTGGTTTGGCAAGATTTCGGGTCAGATAGATGCTACAAATAGGATTGGATATTTTGAAGAACGGGTGAAGCTTGTTTAGCTCTTCTCTTCATAGCGTCTTTTCGTCCAAGCAAATATACTCTACAATCAACATACAATCTGACATAGCATCGCAGGTTTTTATATGTATATATGTATACATGTATATATATCTATCTATTTATATGTATATTTATACAGATGCTTATACTGTGACCTCACTAGGCTAGCTGCCCACTGAATCAATGTATGGCTTTTGCCAAGGGCGGCTAGAGCGCTGGCAGTGAACATAGAAATCTTGGACTCCAGCATCTATGACGTCTCATACAGAGATGCTCAGAGGGGCATGATGCACTGCGGCCGCTTTATCCTGGGGTACATGTGGCTTGCACTCTCAAGTTTTTTGGAGGGCAGGAAGCTTTACAAGCTGAGACCAAAGTTACTTGCCTGCAGGCCCCAGTCCCGTTTATGTAAACTCTTTTTTCGATGGAACAGATATTGCAAGGCATCAACAAATCACTAAGGCTTCACACTTGGATCCATATCTGGACTCGTCTGACCTCAATGCGGATTAATCCACAGCTCAACGCATGCTTTGCAGATGAAGACTTCATTCGGATTCTTTGTGGAATCGACACTTGGATTTCAAAACCATTCAGGTAAACTGTTTCTTTCATATGATGTCTGTGCTGTGGAACTCTCAAGGCCACCGGATGTCATGCTGGCACAGCGGGAGTCACAGCACTCAAGCGGTACCTGGCAACCGCCAGCAGAGACTGGCTCGTGAAGCTGGGGTGAAAAAATGATTCCTCGCTCAAAGCTTCTGATGCAGCTTTTTTCTTGTGGGAGTGCCTGTGTGCTCTACCTGTGTGCTCTACACGCTTGCATTTCTCCCAAAACCCTAATTAAACCCTAAACCCAGCTGTCACGCCATGCAACACGCAGGTGAGTCAGAAATTAACTCAACAGCCCAGAACTTTTCAGCCAGAAGTACGCACGCAGCGCTCAACACATGGATTTCAAAACAAAACATGGATTTCAAAACAAACCAGAGAATTTGTTGACTTCAACCTCGCATGGTGTCTGTATATTTTTGTTTTTGAATGAATTTGTCCTAAACCTGACGACTGCTGTGGCTGTACAGCTTC